TAATCTAACAAGCAAAATAAGGTTGTGCTAACTACAGACAGTGCTATGACAAGAAGGCTGTACTCTGTAGGCACTATTTCTGGGGGATTATTTTGATCATTGATGACAATTAGATATTGTATACAGTCATATAACATTAATACTGTGTTATTGTGCTGTTCTATTTTAAATATCTGCTGTTGTAAAGTTGCACTTAAGATTGGTGTTATCATTACATAATTACTGAATGTTACTTCATTATTTCACAAATTCTGGGCCATTACTTAAGACTTAATTAATTGTGATTAATGGCATACACATTTAGGTGAATGTGTTTATAATTGCAATGTTCTGTTTGAAGCTTATTGTTGTATGTAAAGTTGCATTTTAGCTTGTGTTGCCTGCAAGACAAGCAATAATTTATTAATACCTGTGCACTTTTAGAGAAGTATTTAGTCTATTTTTTTACTACTCTGCTTTATTTGGTCTGTAGTCTTGTTTTATTACTTAATATTCAGTGTTTTTCTATAGTAGTTTTTCTATAGCAAATGTGTGTTTTAGTTGATCCTAATATGCATGTGTATTTGATGTACCTTAATAAAGTCACTGTAATTTTTTATTGTCATGATAGTCATTGTCTTGACCATGTGTTTAAATAGATGGAACATTAATAAGTGTAGCTGAAGTTCAATTTGTGAAAATTAACATTTAAACATTGTACATTAATCAATGCTCTGATATAATTAAGCTGTTGTATCTAATAAACAATGAGTAACTATTTGGAAATACAGAAGAATTGAGTAGTTTTACTAAAAAGTTATTTAACAATCTACATAATTTAATGAAATAATAATAACATGATTAAATATAGTTAAAATTACACTTCAAGGAAATTTTACAAAATATAATTAAGCTGACAAAACTTAGAAGCAATGAGTAAATATCAGAAAGGCATGAAATTTGAGTTTTAACTAAAAAAAGTTTTATTTATAACAATACATAATTTGCTCAAGTAGAAAGAACATGATTCATTTTAGTTAAAATTACACTATTGAAGTAAATCCTGCAAAATATAGTTGACATTACTTATAGGTAATAAATAATTGTTACTCAAATTATATCTCTGAACGTAGATAATTTAATTTTGTGCAACACAAAAAAAAAATTAAGTAAATTCAGAGTCATTTTTTTGAGTGTGATAGGGCCAACGCTTAGACGGTTGCGCCACTCGGGAGCATTTCACTGCATTTCAATAAACTGCATTGCCAAAATATGAACAGTCTTTTTAAATATATTTTCATACCTCACCGTTCAGCATACAACTACGCAAGCTGATGTTATTTTCTTGTAACCTAATGTCACTGCACCTGCCAAATCATTAAAAAAAACAACTTTTTTGAGTCAAATAACCACACAGAAACTTTATGGCAGCACATGACAATGCCCTGTATCTACTGCGTCTTTGGGAAAAGACCAATAGCTGACTTGCAGGCAGATGCTGCTGTTATTGTCTCCTATTGGTAACAAGTGGCTGTATTTGACAGCAGTGTTGTGGCCCTTAGGCAGGATGCGTAGAGGCAGCCGTGCTCCTCTCCACTGGGCATCATCATTAGGTTAAGGTGACTGCTAGGCACTCCCAAAGCCATAAAGAGGGTTCATTTGGAGACTGCACTGTCCTCTCTCTCTCTCTCTCTCTCTCTCTCTCTCTCTCTCTCTCTTACTCTCTCTCTTTCTCTCCACTTAGCAGCCTTTTTACTGAATCATTGTTTGGCAGTGATTAGTATCCTGAGACAAATAGTTGCTAACAAATAGCTTACTCATGGTACAGTTGTGAAGGATCAAGTTTGTCTCCCTCTTACATTATTCAATTTCACATTTCAAAAAGCAGTTAATCAAGAATGATAGATATACAGACACATTATCAAAAGTGTGGACACCCATTCAAATCAGTGGGTTTGGTTACCCCAAGTGTAACTGTAAGTGAAGTGGAATTGTGACGTGGAAATCTTTATAGCTCAGCCATGACGCAGCAGGTCACACAAGCTCACATAACAATGAATGCTAAAGCGTGATAAAATCTTCTGTCCTCAGCGTTCCAAACTGCCACTGGAAGAAAGTTCAGCACAAAATCTGTTAATCTGGGGCTTCATGAATTAGGTTTCCATGGCAACCACAGCAGCCACACACAAGCAAAGGAGCTGTATCACAATGCCAAGCGTCAGCCGGAGTGGTGTGAGCACACTATCATTGGACCCTAGAACAGTGGAAAGATTGTCTCTGGAGTGATGATTCAAGCTTCACAATCTTGTAAGATGAATCTGGGTTTGGTGGATTCAGAGAGAACATGCTATGCACCAATTGCAAAGTTTGGTCAAGAAATAAAATAGTCTGGGTCCAGTCTCACACACACACACACGCATTTTCGAAGCCACTTATCCTCCTGGGTCATGGGATGCTGGACCTATCCCGGCGCTCACTGGGCACAAGGCAGGAAACACCCTGAATAGGTCACCAGTCCATCACAGGGCTCTTAGGGCCAATTTAGCATCTCCAATTCTCCTGAATGCATGTCAGCCCCCTTAATACCACTTATGGGAAATCATAGTGCTACATCATAAAAAGACATTATAGACAATTGTGTATTTAGTGGCAAGAGTTTGGTTTAGGTGTTCTCTTGTTTTGCATGACAATGACCAAAAGTGACCAAAAAAAAAAAATGTTTTTTTCAACTTTGATGTGTACTTGAATTGGATAAATAGGAATGCCTACTCAGGCCTTACTGCCCTACATCAGTGACTAACATTACTAGTGCTCTTGTGGCTGAATGAAAGTGAATCCCTACAGGAATGTTTCAAAAACTAATTTAAAGCTTAATATATATATATATAAACATATATACATCCATATATGCAAACTACCAGAACTCCAGACTGCTGGTTACTTTTCCCATTGGCAGGCTAAAGAAATTGGTGTTAGAAGAAAGCTTCTCAACATAAGCCATTATATGAATACATCTAAATGAAGGTAAAGTCAGTTGATGCCCAATGACAATAAACCTGCTCTTAGGGAAGCTATGAGTCTGACTCTGCTCGATGGAGACAAACTATCTGTTCCCCTTGCAGTCGCTAGATGGCACTGTGTCTGTTTTACAGTGGCTTCTTGGTGAAGTCATTCTCAAGGCTTTTCCAGACGACTCTCATGGGAGATGAATTTAATACCTCAGCTCTCTCGGAAAAGGGGCGAACGCGATCAAGCCCACAATTTGCTGCTGAGCGTCCTTAAACCACTCCGTTAGACCGCATTACTGCAGGGGATTCACACTAGAGGAGGACACATTTGAATAGAGAAAGAAAAGTACTTTCATAACATCTTGAGCATGTGAAATAATGTAGCTTTTGCTATTATTTCACTTGTTATTACATGTTATGCTAGCGGTAGGCTGCCCTTTATCAATCAAATAATAACCGATCTCGTAGGCCAGGACTAGTAGCCTTTAAATTAGAATATTTTTTTTCATGGATTTTCGCTGGGGTTTGTGTTTTGTAATTGTTTTGCAAATACAATACGTGTAAAAACTAATTGAACTCTGTCAGTATTTAATGGTGTGCAGGATTTGTAAATGAGCCGTAAGACTTAGTTTAGCCTATTTGGTGAGAGTGAGCTCTTTAGAAAATCACCTGCACTGCAAGGCAGTTTAGCTGTGCTACAGACTCATGCTGCCGACGGGAAACAAAGCAGAACACAGGAGATGTTTTATTATTAGTATAACCATTTCTCACTCAGTTTCTTACTGCCTGGCGCAAAAAGCATAATATTGTTGAGCTGCATTGGTAGGCTTGTGTGTTAACAATTCATGATTTGTGCATTTAAAGACAGATAAAAACCATCAAATAAAACACATTTAAATATATTTACCGGTTCTTTTAGACTTATTAAATGTCTTGGAAATCGTTTATTTAGGCTGTAGGCGTGTTAATAAAATATACGTTAACAAAAGTGACTAAAGAGGTTAGACTGTTTTTATGAAGTAATACATTTACGAGATTTCTTTCTTTCTTTCTTTCTTTCTTTCTTTCTTTCTCTCTCTCTCTCTCTCTCTCTCTCTCTCTCTCTCTCTCTCTCTCTCTCTCTCTCTCTCTCTCTTCTCTCTCTCTCTCTCTCTCTCTCTCTCTCACTCTCTCTCTCTCTCTCCGAAAACAAGCCAGCGAGTAAAGAGAGAGAGAGCAGCAATGCAAAATTTGCTTTGACTTCACTGAAGCCTGCTAGAGTTACTATACTGCTGGTTAATGAACATGCAGTACTGGTGACTCGGTTTGTTCTTGTGGTCTTCACCTTCGTTAACTTCTCACGATAAAATATAGTGGCACTCATTGCCATGTCACACAAGAAATATGGATATACGTGCAGCCTGCACGTATATCCCAACTGTTATCAGCAAAGCTCGCATAGATCTATTAGTATCCATTGACTTATCTCTTCACACCATGTTGACAGAACCACAGCTATCCCTGGCAGCGATACAGAATAGCGATGCCTGCTTAATTCATACGCAGATAAAAATTCCCTTTAATGTGACCAGAACACGAAAAAAAACAAAAGAGCAGCCTTCCCATTGTCCTTTTGGCTTCAACAGAGCAAGCACTGACTGTCAATACATTAAATTGGATTAATTTATAAGGTAAACAGAATTATGGTAATAGATCAATTAATGTGAATGGAAATGTTAATTCGTTGTTTGAAGTGTGTTAACAATACAAACTCCGGGCGGTGATTATGGGTGCATTTGTTTAACCAAAGCCTTTGTGAAACAGTTTCACACAGAGGGGCCGGCATTGCAGAAACGACTCTAGCACTAAAGAACTTTTATAGCAAACGCGTCTCTTTTTTAAAAACAGACATTCAGTTTTACACGCAGCACTGTCATATATACATACAAAAAATCGCTCCTTTGCCACAGAGAAACGCCTAGTTTACTGTATCGCGAATAAGAATTTTACAACAGAGCATGAATCACACCTGATATGGTTTATAATTCATGTGGATCCACGGTCAACAACAACAAAACCCTTTTTCTCTTAAGCCCAATCTTTGTGGGAATTCCAGCACACGCTGCCTGCAGCCCGCCGCCCCGCCACCTTAAGAGCTTCTGTCCCTCCCCCGCCGCCGTAGCTCCCCCCAGCCTCCCATTGGCCTGTCTCTCCGGCGGAGCAGCTCGCAGAAATGCAAAACTTGTTGCTGGCGGTGTGAAACGCAGCCATCGCGCGCACAGCCTCAGCGCCACGCAGCAGCAGCATGTGAAGCGCGAGCCTGAACGGAGCGCACTCGAGCCTGCTGTTGGACGAGCGACTGAGAAGAGAAATCAGCCGGAGCGCGCGCGCGCACGTGTGAGCGCTCAGTAATAGAAATTCAACGCAAGCGGCGCGTTCGCACGGAACATGAGCAGCAGCGGCGGGAGCGCGTTTCCGAGCAGCACTGTGTTTGTGGAGTTCGGCTAGAGTGTGTGTGTATGAGACGGGCTCTTCGGCTTTACTCCGTTACACACACGTGGAGACCGGAGTGTTTGCGGTTTCGTCGCCTGCTGAAACCCACGCGAGGCGCTCTTTTGCCCAGCCTTCAGTCTGAAAGACACCGGCAAAAAAGATCTGCACCAGCGCCTTACACCCTCCGACAGGAATGGCTTTCTGTAGCCGAACTCTTCAGAGCAGACTGTAGAAAAGATGGACGTCCTCGCCATGCGCATCTGATGAGGATTTTGAGTCCCAGTATTAAGAGTACTTGCTCTCTGGACATTTGACAGCAAATTGGAATTATGTTTTTTGGAGGCGGAATGATCCCCCGGAGCGTATGCTGTATTTTACTCCGTGCGCGAGTGTCATCAGTTTTGCAGACACGTTTACAGCCGTTGTGAACTTTTTTGCATAAAGGGAGTACTTTTTATATCTCCAAACCCCAGATTTTTTTTCGTCCCACAGGTCCGGATGCGCATGTAGGCTTTCACAGGTTATTGCAAAGAAAGCTTTAACTGTCTTGCATTTTAAAGCGAATATTTTTTTTTTTTTGAGAAAAAAAACTGAAGCAAAACATGGAGAAGTTTATGTTTTAAAACTGGGTGAACTTTATCGGTGAGTTTCACGTTCTCTCACCAAAATGGATATTCAATTATTTTAGCTCTTAGTCACAGACTTTTAATATTTTGTTTATGTATTACATTTTTGCATATTTTTGTGTATAATTTTCGCCCTGTTTATTGTGTGTGGGCTCGGCTGAAGACGTGCAACTAAGGGAGGCGGCAGGCGCTGCCGTGCGGCCAGGCAAGCTGGCTGTCATGCGGGATTGATCGCGGGAAGTATGTTTCGGGCTGGAACAGTTCGGTCCCCAGATTAATTGCAGAAACGCCGGCCACGCTGAAAAAAACTTAAGCCAGCCAAAAGTAAGCATGAGCTCTCATTACAAGAGCCCAGGTTTCCACTCCGGAGGCCCGCCAGGGACGGTTGAGCCTGGTATGGGCCCTCTAAACGAGCCTGCTATGCTTGCGCTCAATATGAACATGAATGGAGGAGAGCAGTACGGAGGCTTCCATCCGCGGGGCCACTCGGACATGCATGCGGGAGCACTTCAGCAGCAACCGCAGCAACAGCAGGCACCCATGCATGGGTTTTTTAACAACCAACAACCTCATAATCATCCCCATGGCCATCAGGCTCATCCACACCAACATCATCCACACTTTGGGGGAAACTTTGCAGACCCTGGGCCTGGATCCTCCTGCTTACACGGGGGTAGGATAATGGGTTATGGGGGCAGTATGGGGCCTCAGCAGGGATTCACAGAGGGCTTTGACCCACTCTCTGAGGGCCAGTCGGGGGATGGATTCTCTCAGCAGCAGCCACAGCAGCAACAACAGAGGCCAGGCTCAATGCCAGACTTTCAGCACCATGGACCCTCCAGTGGAAACCATCCTGTCCCTGCCCCTTGCCTGCCCCTCGACCAGTCACCAAACCGGGCTGCCTCCTTCCATGGTCTTCCTTCCTCTTCCTCGTCATCATCAGAAAGTCATAACCTGGAGTCCAGACGCATACCCCCACAAGGCAGTGTTGAGGGTTTGGACTACAACTTTCCCAATGAGCCACCCTCTGGACATTTTGATGTATCTGTGTTTTCACCCTCTGATCCAGATTCTCAACTCCCCCATTTTGGGGGAGGGAGACAGGTGCCAGGGGCCAGTTTTCCTGGAAACCCAGCCCTATCCCGGGCTTCAGGAATGCAGGGCATCTCTAAAGGACACTCCCAGGCCCCTCCTCAGCAGCAGCAGCCCCCATCCCAGCACAGTGTGTTCTTTGATCGATTCGGGGGTGGGCGCAAAATACCAGTGGGGATGGAGCCTGGTGCCAGGCATCCCCTCATGCAGCAGCAGCAGACAGGGTTGATGGGCCGACAAAACTCCTGTCCACCTTCCCACCCACGGCCCCCACAGCCTGAGGCTGGCTCCACCAATGCCAGCATGCAGGAGGGCGGCGTCATGATGCCTGGCCAGCATAACCAGTTTGAATACCCAATTCACAGACTAGAGAACAGAGGGATGCATCCCTATGGGGACCCCATATTCAATATGCAACAGCAGCCTCCCCCTCCCCAGCAGCCTCCCAGTCAGAGGCTGCAGCACTTTGACTCTCCTTATTTGAATGTGGCCAAAAGGCCTAGGTTTGATTTCCCTAATGCCCATGGAGGGGAGAGCTGTGGCTCTTGGAACAGCGGCATGCACAACCCACCTGGCATGGAGAACCACATCTCTCCCTCAGCGTACCCGGGCCTGCCTGGAGAGTTCACTCCCCCTGTGTCTGACAGTTTCCCACCAGGCCCACCACTACAACATCCAGGGCCTGAGCAGCAGTCATTGCAGCAGAGGCAGAATGCTGCCATGATGATCAAGCAGATGGCCTCTCGAAGTCAGCAGCAGAGAATGAGACAGCCCAACTTGCAGCAGCTTGGTCACCACGGAGATGTCCCTCAGGGTCCTATGGTTCATGGAGGCCCTGTGGGGGGCCTGCCTCAGCCTGGCTTTGAGAGAGATGGTGGCGGGAGGATGGTGAACTTTGATGGGCAGAATCCACACATGGTTCCTGATAGTGGCTGGTTTCCTGGGCCACACCCACCTGGGGAGATGCTCGGGCGCCGCATGGGTGGCCCAGGTGGTGAGGCAGGCACTCATGATATGCAGCAAAATGGTGCTGCCATGATGTTTAGACAAGGTGTAAATGGCCTAGGCATGCCAGATCCAATGAGAATACCTGGAGAGGGCCATGTGCAGCCCTTACACTCACCCAGCATACACCCTCAATTTGGTAGCAGCATGGGGAACCTAGCACAGATGCAGTCACCTGGGGCAGGTGTAGGGCTACCCAACACACAATCAGAAAGGCGTCCAAATGACTTTTCAGGGCCACCTATGGGTGCTCAGCCCTCCTTTCCTTTTGGGGGTTCCAGTCGGCAGGGGGGACCACACAATAATGCCCAGGGGGTGAGCACATCTCCAGGGAGTTATACCTCCCAATCAGAGTTTCCAGCTGGCCAGCGCTCCTCAGTCAGCAAACTGGGGTCTCTCTCCTTGGGGAATTTTAACAAAACAAGTAGCAAGGACAGTGTTTTCGGACAGAGCTGCCTGGCGGCTCTCTCTACTGCCTGCCAGAACATGATCGCCAGCCTGGGGGCCCCTAACCTCAATGTGACATTCAACAAAAAGAGCCAGGGAGAGGGAAAACGAAAGCTGAGTCAAACAGAGCAGGATGTGAATAACAGCACAGCCAATGGAACTGGTAGTGCTGGGCCAGAATTTTTCCCAGGCGGAGCCACCCCCCAAAGCACCCAGATGCCTGGTGCTGGCAGTAGCAACACTAAGCCGACAGGTACAAACCAGACAGTGCAGGGGGAAGCCAGCGCCCTCTCCCCAAGTTACAACATGGACGCTACCCCATGCAGTGAGGGGAAAGCAGCAACAGGGAGTGGGAGAGGGAGAGGGAGGAGGAAGAGGGACAGCGGCCATGTGAGCCCTGGGATTTTCTTCCCCTCCGACAATGGCAACCCTGTTGTGAGCCCTGGCCAGCAGGTCACACCAACAGCTGGCACTGGTGAGAGGGGTGGAGGAATGCCTCATGAAAAACCCCTCACTTCGCCCTCCTGGGGGAAGGGGGGCGACCTAATGTTGGGCGATCAAGCTGACCTGATGTCATCCCTGGACAGTGGCATCCAGAGTGTATCCAAGTCTGCCGACTGCTCACCTCGTGTTGACTTCCCAGATGACATAGGTCCCCACTTTGGCAATGAGGATGAGGTTTCATCCAGTTCTGATGCACCGACCTCAGCAAAGGCCAGCCGCAGCCCTCTGTTGGGTGGCTCGCCTAAGTTGCAGAGGGTGGACAATGGGTTGATGGGTGGGCAGAAAGGACAAGGCATCGGCCTTGCCAACCACACTACCTCAACATCAGAGGGCTACGGAGCAGTAGGCCACCCAGGTACGCCGGGCATGGAGCAGGTCCGCACGCCCTCCAGCACTTCTGGCCAGGATGAGATCCACCCACTGGAGATATTGCAGGCACAGATCCAGCTTCAGCGGCAGCAGTTCAGCATCTCAGAGGACCAGCCTTTAGCCATAAAAAATGGCAAGAAAGGCAGTGACTGCAATGGACAGAGTGGAGATGGAGAGCTCGCCAGCTGCAGTCCGGATGCTGGAAAAGGCTCTGTGGGCACTATTGACCTGGACACACTCATGGCAGAGCAGCATGCCACCTGGTATGTGCCCAGCGACAAGAGCCTGCTTGAAAATTCAGAAGAGGAAAAGTCACTTACTGCATGGGAAAAGACTAAGGGACAAGGCCCCATTAAAGAAGGTAAATATTACTGCTTTGCTTTTGCAGTATAACAGAGCTAAAAATTGTGTGAAATTGGAGTAATTTGTTTAGTTTACTTACTCCATAATAGTGTGAATTTAATTGCATTTATTTACATTCATTATATTATTTTTTGCATCAGAGCTCGACCCACAAAACCTATACATTAATATATTGCTTTGTGACACACTTTGTCTGTTTCACACTCGCGCACAGCATGCACCTTCCTAGCCTTGAGCGAGCAAACGAGGCCACAGACAGTATGAAGTGTTGAGTGTTATATTTCTCCCTTCCTGTGGTTTCAGACAGACCAGATATTGTAGAAGGTGGCTTTAAAATACGGCGCGTGCGAATCGATTATTGGCACCTTGTGCATTTCAGATGCTGACTGGATGTGTTTAGTGGAATTCAACTAAAAAAGTAGTCTGTCGCAGGTCTTTCCTGTAATCTGAAGAAAATACGGATGAATATCGTTTTAGGAGCTCTATGGTTCATAGCATATAGTAACAGTCCATACCTTTAATATTTTAAATATAGTTTAAAAAGAAGAAGCGATTCAAATTAGTCAGAAAATCTTAATCAGGCGCTTCAAGTGAATGGTGCGTTTATAACGGAGCTCCTCTCAAAGGCCGTAAGTAAAAAAGCGAGTTTCAGGTTTGAAAAAGCGTGTCATTTACGAGCGAGCAGCTCTGAACGCCTCACAAGGCTCACACGAGCCGAACATTTATCTAAGGATTTTGTCTATTTTATGGGTTTAAGTCCGCATGAAACCGCGAGAGAAAAGGCTTCAAAAGAACAACCGGAGCGAAGTAAACATTTCCTGTGGTTCTTTATCTCGGTTTTCACTCAGAACAACGACGCAGGGAAGATTAATTGCGATTTGAAGAGATGCGTTTCGGCCGCAGGACTTCCCTTTTCTCTGTCTGTTTGTTTTAAATGTTATCAGTGGATAATCTTATTGAAGAATCTGAAATGTGTTTAGATGGAGCATTTAAAACAAAAAACGTGGGAGGCTGCGTGTTGTGAACGCGTGAAAACATAATAAAGCGAATACAATAGTGATAGACCATAATAATAATAATAATAATAATAATAATAATAATAATAAACGTTGTGCTTTTTTTCAAGAACTTTTTCAGGATTTACACTAAACATGGGCCTAGATCTTTATTAATCTTTTTTTTTCATTTATGCATTGAAAAAAGAAACGTCAAACTTTGAGCTGTCACTGCGCTATTCACAAAATGACATTTAGTGTTTAGAATTTCAGAGTAATGTTTAGTGTTTAGATATTTAACTTTAATCCAAACTTTTTAGTGCCAGCAAAACTGCCTTTAAATCCGTGGGTTATGCTGAAATGGGACAAAATGATTTGAAATCGGTTTTATTAAAGGCCGCATTAGTTGCATTCCCAGCGGCCTACAGAGTAAAACAACTAAAACAGAATTATGAGACAGAATGTAAATGGTGAACGTATGTTATTATTATTATTATTATTATTATTATTATTATTGTTATTATTATTAATAATAATGATAATAATATAACTGTGAACGTTATTGATAATATTAACAATTTCAACAACAAGAAGTATTTATTACAGTTATTACAACTATTATTGGTGATGTTTCCAAGCTGTAAACCTCTTAAATTTAATTAGGTTAGTAAAACTGATGATCAGTGACGGCAGTGACGTCTACATTTTTATAATTTCTGTGAATTTAAAATGCGATTTTTCTAATGCTTTTGTAATTTGTTCTTTTTTAACGTATTTTTTTAAAATATAGGCTGCAATTCAGTGATGTTCCACGTATTGTGCATTAAATTCGCCCCTCGCTGCTCCTTCAGCTTATCCACCGTGTGAGAGAGGAGCTGGTGTGCAGGAGTGAAGCGGGACTGAACCCGTTTCCCCGCGCCTTTGTTCAGCCACAGGGGTGGGTGGGAGGTGGGAGGGGTGGGTTAAGAGGGAATTGATGGGGGGGTGCATTAGGGGGGAGTTGAGGGGTCGGTTGAGGGGGGAGGTGTGAGAGAGGGTTGAGGGGAAGATGAGGGGGTCTGTCTCGGGTTAGGGAAGCTCAGTGAGAGAGCTCAGTGTTTAACTGAGCCCAATTAGACCCTCCACCTCTTCATATATATAATGGCCTGCAGAACGAGTGTACGCCATATAGCCGTATAGCCCTTTGTTTCGCGTCTGTCTGCGCCACATGTAAATCAAACACTAAACTGTACTTTTTAGCCTCTCTCCTTTTCCACCCCCCACCCTCAGCCTCCAGAGCTGCAAAAGGGCGATCGATAGCTAGTTAGCACAAATCACAAGCCTTGACACTTTTTCATTTGAGTGGCGCAGACAGCGAGGATGAGGAGAGTAGCGAGGTGTTGGTGGCTTTGTGAAATGGCACTGGATGCACGGCGCGCAAGGGAGGCGGTGGTGGGGGGGGTGGGGGGCTGGCTACTGAAGCTCCTAAACAGAGCTCATTCACAGCAAATGGTACAATCACTTATTCAAAAAATAAATAAAAGTTAGACCGCTGCCAATGGACACATGAACATTTAAGTTGGAGGTGGTGGACAGAATCAGTTTCAAAGAGTAAATATCCACTTTTAATTATTTTAATTAATTTTATTATTCAAACACCTTTATTAAAACATGGATATGGACAAAGATTAAAGACTTACATAAAGATTTAAAAATGTCTTATATATTAACCTTTAGTTACGCTGACTTCATTTGCATTCTGTCAGCATGTGGTTGCTACAGTAGAGATGCCTATCAAATTTTATAAGGGCCATTTTTGGATTATGGATGTACTCACCACTAAACCCTCCTTCATTAAACAGCTGGCCTTTCTGCATGCTGTAGATTTTAATACAATGCTGTGTAATGAATTGCGCTATGGTAGGGAAGTGTTGGGCAAGCTCTTCAAAAATGATATTATTTAGGCCACAAAGGCTATAAACACAGTCTTTAATTAACAATCCATATAACAAACATAGGCTATATATATTAGTATTTACATTTTATTACACATGAGTATCACATTTTCAATATCCTAAGCCTGGCACAGTCTTTAAGATTCAGCACTGAAGAGCAAAGCTGAGAGTAAATCTGTAGTTTTATTCAGCGTTAAATGTTTACACTTAAATGTTTGTAGTATTTGCGAAGTAAATGGGGCTGGCGACAAACTCACACACACAAACATATGTTTGCAGAACGTGTGTTTGTTTACACAGCCAATAGAGCTCAGGGCAGGGAAGAGTTAAGTAAGATGTAACTTAAAACATCCCAGGTGAATATCCCCCTCTCACACACACAAACTCTCTCAGACTCTCTCTCTCGCGCTCTGCACTCCTGTTCCACTGCGTGGTGCACTTTATGAGGACTTTTTATGTTTTTCTTTATGAAACAATTAGCGCCAGTCTCTTGTAATCAACTGTTTTGGTGAAAGCTTTCATAGTTATTCTCCATGTCTACAAAATTCTTTTATATCTCTGTCAGAACCAACCACATCCAGACATGTTTTGACATACGGAGGAAATTATCAAAATATTATTATAGACATGATAATTACACTGTTAATTTCTCAGAATGTTATGAAGATTGTTGGTAATGTTGTCTGAGTTTTTAGTTGGATAAAAAATGCAAACAGAAATACTTTGAATGTGCAAAACGCAGTTACAATAAAGAATATATTAACAGATTTAAGGAGGGAAAAAACAGTAACATTTCCCTTTTTTGGTCAGTATTTTGAGTTTTGACATCATTTAAATAAAAACATTTTTCAGGGCAAGCTGTACAGAAGATTTCCACACACACACACATACGCCCAGCTAGAGGCAAGTTTATTGGGGTTAGAGGCCTATTTGAGGGCTCTAATTGATGTCGTTATAGACACCTCATAAGTGCTGTAGTGAAAGAACGCTTTTAACGATTTAACAGTCCTGCTGTGGATTATTTTGGGCCGTCGTTGTGCACTTTTGCCAGTGTTGGCATACAACAAGCCATGAAGACTGATCCACCTCACCCTGGTGGATCTCTCTGTGGTAGAAAAAAGCTATTTAGTTGATCACATTTGTTTTTGTGTGTAAGTGAAATTGAGAGGGGAAAAACTGCAAAGAAAAAGCTTTCAAATATTTCACAACATGGTGCATTTATTAGTTAGAGATTTCACTAAGACTAATCAGACCCAACACTCAACATCCAACACTTTGATAGTACACTTATTAAACTCCCCATGAAGCGGCGTAGAGATAATGATCAGTTTGCCAGTGGGGTGTACAGTGGGGGTCCATGGATTCCATCACACTCGCACCCATATTTCCCTGCTCTAACAGCAGATTTTACTCATCATCTAATTAAGAAGCGGTGGTGTGAGGTGTGTAGGAAGAATGGAAACACTCGACAGTGCCTCTCTGGTGAAGGTCACATACTCTTGGCTTTTGTGGAGTTGGCTGAGTCGTAGAAGTGACCAGTTGTTTATTTAGGATTGTTCAGTTTTTCCTATATTGTATTGCAGAGCTTGAGTCTCTTAGCCCTCACACATACTAGAACCACTTTTGGTTCCCTAAATAACTTTTCAGCAGGTAGAATTATTATGCTCGTGAGAAGAACCTTTTAACGTTTAAAGAACCTCAAAATAATGTAAAGGTTTTAAACCAGAGACAGATCTCTCCAAGAGCCAAGCACCATTTAGAAACGTTGTTTTTTAAAACGTGTGCAGTAGGGTCCAAAAGTCTAAGACCACTTGTGAAGATGCTTCTGTTTTGCATTCTTTTTTTTAATTTGACACAAATTAATACACGTTACATCATCAGCATAACAATTTAAGTTAAATGTAACATCTTTAGATTTTCTTAGTATTTGGTATGTCCTGCTTTTGCTTTAATGACACTCCAGCTGGCATGGATTTGCCAGGTTTGTGCAAAAGCCTCTGATGAGCAGATCAAATCCATCTAAGAATCACCTGAGCACGTGCACCAAATAACTGACCTTTTTGTACAAT